GGTGGCAAGAAGCTGGCTGGTCACCCCCCCTCCTCCTCCTCCTCCAACCCTCAACCCTGAGGGGCCAGAAGGCCCAGCAAAGCAGGGGGCTGGAGTAGCTCCCTCTGCCAGGCTCCACAGCACTATGGCTGGTGGCAGCTGGTCTCTCTGTCCCTCCCTCCCCTCCCTCCCCTGCCTGAGCGCCCTGCGGGCAGGCAACAGGATGGGTGAGGAGGTCAAGAGGCAGGAGAGAATGGGTGGAGCGGCGGCGACATGCCGGATAATCGGCTTTTATGAAGCGGAGAGGACACAGACAGGGAGAGACTAGAAACACAGCTCTGACACAATGCAACTGGCTACAAGACGTAATGAATTAACACATTAGCAGCACGACCAGGGGCGTTCAGGAGCACTCAGCTGCTCTTAAACACAAACCCACACTGGCACACACACACACATAAATCAGTCATAAGTCATTAATGAAACAACAAACACACTCACTAATTAATTACATCACTCATTATTTTTTCCATGACAGGTCCCTCTGAAAGCCTCTTAAAACGTCTCCACAGAAACTGATACATTTACTTAACTCTAGAAAGAGATAAGACAGAGATTAACCCAACAAAGAAAAAGCATACACTTTTAAAGATAAGATAATGCAATGGGAATCCTCTTGTCCAAACTAAAGGCATGTGTTCAATTATCATCAACCCCAAATGATCCCATTAATGTTTTAACTCTTTCTCTCACATCCCAATCAAAGCCATCCATCCATCCCCTTTTTTCTCTCTGCTCTCCGTCCACCCCTTTAATTCACGTCTATGCGGTTACTTACTTCCCTCTCTCACTCTCTTCCTCCATTCCCTCCCTCCCTCCCTCGACTTTTAACCAGCGTGAAGGAGCAGCCATGCATTCAACCATCAGGCAGGCTTACATGGTCCACCCTTACACCAACACACACACACACACACACACACACACACACACATACACACATACACACATACACACACACAGCATATTTTGTCTCGAGTTTAACAAGAATGCAATGTTCATTGAAACAAATGCTGACCATATCAGGGCATCTTTAGGTGGTTAAGTGCATCCTGATACTTGTATACAAATCAGTGACAGGCTTTTTACCCGCAGGATAAATCCCACTGGGAGTCTTTCTACTGGTTGCCATCTGAATATATCAAATAATCCACCACAACATTTTTTATAATTAGCTGTTAACACATTTAAAAACTTGCATGACAGCTTTCATTTTGGCCATCAAAACTTTTTACCGCATGCAAAGTCAGAAAAGTGCCATTTAGAAAATATATTTTTAGTTGGTTTATCTGCTTTTAATGTCTAGTAAATAAATTGTATCCACAGTTCATGGCGCTGCGGTCCAGTGACAGCCCTGGGATGATGATGGCCCTGACCTACTCCCTGATGGGGGATCCCATTCCTCTCTTCTCATCCAACAATCCCACTGAGCATGTCAATATGAAACTCTATCCCCACACACACTCAGACTGTGCTAATACTATAGGCCATCCCTCCTATTATAGATATGACAGGTTTACATTGATAGGATGAGCCTGTAAACTGCTCTATCTGTGCGTAGAAAAGACGCACAGCATGGTGTTGAGAGAAGTTTAAATTAGACCAAATCAAGTCTCCCAACAGTAAAACACATTAGACTATATTGCGCTCAATGTGAGGGTGATTTAGGACATGAGCCCTGTTGTATGTGGGGTTGAGGGATAGCAGGCTGTAAAGCTTTGTTTAGCCAACTTTAAAGAATCCACAGCCTTGTAAATGTTGTCAGATGGCCGATGCCAGTGTCTTTCAGCTTAATACTACCTATATTAAATAGTTTAAATATTTCATAAGGGCGGTTTTTAGAGCGAGGGAGGAGAAATCGTTAGCTGCGGTAAAGTTTCATTAACTGGTCCCCATTTCGCTGCGAGGCAAACTCATCTCCTCTTATTGTAATAAAACAATCTCTCTCTCCACTCATCTCCCTCTCTGCACCGCCTCTCTGCTTCTCTTTTACATCATAATAATACACTACATCCCCTTTAAATGCACTATTACTTACCGCTGCCTTTTCATATTGTAACATCACGGGCACTTTAGCGACAATATAAAAGCGTGTCATTCATTATTCAGAGGCAGCCGGCCTCGTCCCCCTTTTAAAAAGTCAGGCGCGCTGCTGAAATTGATAACGGTGAAGAGACGCGCAATAAAAACGCAGCCCCCGGGTACCGAGCTGCAGCCCAGACCCCCGATTATGCAGATCAAGTGGTAATTTCTCAAACAAATCGCACTCTTTCACTCTTTTGTTGTCTTTTCTTTTTGGACTTTGGAATCAGGGTGTCAGCATTTATTTTGCCTGTGGAAAAAAGAGGATTGATGCACACTTTAATTGTTCTTGCGAGCTGCAGGCTTTTTTTTCCGAAACACCATCTAAATATTTTGGCCCAAACGAGATCACCTAAAGCCTGCTTTTTAGAATGGGGTGTGTGTGGTTTTTTTTTTTTGAGTGGACTAATGTTATCAATTATTTGGACCCTTTCTGCTGTAATCACGAAGCAATGAAATGATCCGAGTCTGTCTGCAGACAATCAATAAATTCAGAAAAGCTGGCAGGAGGGTGACTGGGGGTTTTCTCCATGTGCGTTTTAGATTAAGTCACGGTGGTATCCCGGTAGGTCAGAGCTAATGTGTCATAATCGCTCATAATCATTGGATTACACCGGATTACTAACACCCAACATCTGCAACCAGTGGGACCCCGTCTGCTCCGTGCAGGCTGAAGGAACTGCCTTCACTGGAGGAGTGAGGACGGACGCAAGAATTATTAACTTTCATCAAACTCGTGGCTTAACCAATGAGTGATACATTTATTTATATTATAATGTTTTTGTGATATTTCACGTACCTATTTACTTGCGTGGGAGGGGGGGGGGTTATTTTAGGGAATTTTATTTTGCAAATGTCCTGAAGAGAAACATAAAAATGTTCCCAAAAGCTGACAGCTATTACAGACCAATTCTTCCCCATCAAAAGCCACCGGTGAGTTCACATATGGCGGGGTGACGCGGCCAACACTCAGAGTCTGTCCATATTGCCAAGCAAACACCTCGGGCCTTGTCCCATATCATATTGCTTTTTAAGCCTTTATTGTGAAAGACGAGATGACGAGCTGCTTTTTAAAAAAAAAATATATATATATCTACCGATGCATGTTTGCATTCCAATTTAATCTTGTAGTTTATAACTTCATAAAAAACAATCAAATTAATTGCTTTTTATTTTACAATTGTATATTCCGTTAAATAAAGATGGTGTAATCATTCAGGCTGCATTTTTTCCAAGTAACAGATTTTAAGTGCAACACATAAATGGAAGGACAATAATATAGCTCAAATAATCTGCATACAATAGGCCATCAAGACAGCGATATCACAAATAAATAATAGTTTTTAAATATTAAAGTACATGTCCATCAAATGATGATAAGTGAACAGGTTGAGCAGATCGTTAAAAAGCCTACAAATATAGACCCCATTGTCACTAAATGAATATGTTGGCCATTAGTTTGTTAAAGTACTGTAATGTGATCGCTTAAAAAGCCACCTGCCGCAACTGAAGCCCACGCGCATTTGTCTGTCCCTGAGACAAGTTAGTGGAAATGTGATTATCCGGTCACTTTGGGCGCCTGTTACATTGAATCTGAGCGGTTAGCGGCTTCCACAGTCCGGACACTTTATCTAGAGTAGCCCATGGCCTTCCCCTGTCAGGTCATTTAATGTGGGGCTGGCTACGAGGAACAAATAAGGCCAAGTAGTGATTTTCCACGCGCAATGGGTGCTGGTGATTCACTGCCAATGTTCCATCAGGCTGCTGTCCTTTTACTTTAAAGAGAGACGCGATGGGTTCTATGTGCGCAATTACGCACGGGTAAATGAAGACCCTTGTTTTAACACTTTTTTTTTTTTTTTTAGTAACCTCTCAGTACATAATGCTTTATGTTTGTGGTGATCGTAATAACATTGTTTCTATAACCCGGTAACGAACACAAAACAACAAGAATTTGACTTATTTGCAATTTAGCTGTAACATTAAGGGCTACGTTTGACGCGATATGATAGTTAGAAAAACATTTTACTAAATTTGAGCATAAATCATACATGGAAGTCGACATAAAACACCCATCAAGGAAATTTAATAACACCACATTTTAAATGCAAGGACGATGTGAAGGATTTGCATTCAAAGAAACGCACATGTAAACTGTTGCTTATTCCTTTTGTTCTTGGGTTTAGAAAATGTCCTTATTAATGCTCTCCTGGTTATAAAGTCTACTTCTCTTGAAGCTTTCAACATGTATAATTATTCCCGGAAAATACACGTGTGTAAATAAAAAGGTGACACATAAAGCAACAGATGATGCGCATTTACTGTCTATTTCGTGAAACGTGGGCAAAGGAAGCATCAATTCATCGGATCCTGTGTGAAGTTTTTTTTTTTTTTTTTTTTTTTTTTTAAATGTTTGTTGCCTAAACTTATAAACCCGTCCACATATAGATTTCTCGGGATGAACGAAACACTGACGGATGACTGACAAGCAGCTGTAACGATACAAAATGTGATGTTCTTTAACGAAGAGGCGGAAAAAACAACATTGAACTTCGGTGATCAATGGAGTGATTTACATGCAGTTCAAATGTTATGGAGTTGTCGCACCCTCCTTACTTTCACACCATCATTGATTTAAGAACGACTACATTAGATACTGACTCGCGCACATGGCATGAAGCTGCCATATCTTGCCATTTAAACATAACAATCTGACGGCTGTAGTGGTTATGGGAAATCTTTGTAATCGTGCCAAATCGCGGGCCTACCCCCATTAACATTCAATCAGTCATTGAGGTGCCAGCCAATGAAAGGTGGAGAAGGATGGAGGAGGACGGAGCAGCCAGACGGAGCGTTTTGACGCGCTGAGAGGAGGACAGAGCGTCACATCTCTCCAAACGCAAATCAAACTTCACAGAGCCTGTAGAGAGGAGCCAGTCCTCTGAAGGAGGCCTGTAAGACACACCGAAGACACAACGAGGACGCGCTGGATTCTGGGAACACAACCGAACAGCGATGGAGGCACGACTGGCGGCATATTTAGGTGCAGTTTGACCCTGCTGTGCATCCACCTGAAAACCTCTCCTTTAGTTCTTTTTTTCATCCTTTCTGCGACAGAGCGACGAGGATGGAGCAAGCACCAAGCGCGCCGAGTCCTCCACCCAAACCGGCCCATCATGAGCCCATCAGCTTCGGCATCGACCAGATCCTGGGAGCCGGTACAGAGCCAGAAAACGGGCGCACGGCTGGAAGACAAAGTGGGTCCGATTTAGGGAGCGGGGACGGTTATTACAGTCTAGGAAGCCCGACAGGGGCCAGCGCGCCCTCCTACACTGCGCTCTCCATCTCGCTCTCCGGTATAATTCCCCCGGCAGAGGCTGCCGGTTCATACGGGGAGAGCAGGGGTCTGGGTAGTCGGGGAGTAATTCGAGTCCCGGCCCACAGACCCATGACAGCCCCGGGACCCCCTGCCCCCGTCCAGGGTGCTGTCCCTGGGTTCGGAGGACTGTGTTTCCCCTGGATTGGAAACAGGTTCGCCAAGGACAGAATATCAGGTGGGCCAGCTGTTTAACCATTAGGTTGTCCCTCGTTAATATTTTATATTGTTTAAAATGTTAAACATCATGTGGCCGGTATCTGTGAAAGCTATTTCCAACTATCAGGAATGTGGCTCACTTAAAAGTCTTAGCCTAAATGAATCAGGATTTAAATTAGAATAAGTGTGTGGTTTTTTTTTTTTTAATAATGCTGAATGTTTCTTTTAGATATTATTATCAATATTATTAAACACCAATTGTTTCTCTTTTTACTGAAGTAAATCTTGTTAAAAGAGTTAAATATATCATTTCTACATTATGGCTGCAGATGAATAAAAAAGCCCGTCAGACTGTGCTTTTTTCAAATAAATAAAATACAACGGCATGAAATTAATGCTTTATGACAACTTACTTAGGCTAAATGTTATTCGAAGGCAAAATAAAAAAAATAAAGAGATCGTTTTTTAAAGTTTGCACTGTAACATATAGACCGCTTTAAAAAAAAACACAAAAAGTTATACTAAAAACATCTAATGATAATACTAAAATAAAAGCGTTTATTTTCTTTGTATTTAACAAAGAAAGAAATATCAGGCATATAATTATTTTTCACACACGTTTTAAAGATTAGCTGCCTTTAGGAGCAAATGTGTGTCCTGTAGAAAAGCCTAAATAGACCAATGGGCCGCTGCCCCCTCTGTTAAGTAGTCTTTCAATCCAAAATAAAGTAGGATTGAGTTATTTCTCTTTTTTTTTCTTCATATCTGCATTGTTTCCCATAGCCTACTTTGGCCAGACTCATCTTTCACAATAAATTTCCTCTCTCGTCTCTCTCACGTGGTGTACACAGTCGAAATAGGGAATTGTTGTCAAACAGGGCAGATATCTGTGATCTATGGCCTTGAATTTCCATACAGAGTGGGGAGTGAATTATTCTGTTTGGTGTGGTGTAAAATCTTAGTCTTCCACTTACCCGGTGTGTCTCTCTCCGTTTCTCGCAGCGGCTCTGGTGCCGTTTGCAGTCACGCGGCGGATAGGACATCCGTACCAGAACCGGACTCCTCCCAAACGGAAAAAGCCCCGGACGTCCTTCTCGAGGGTTCAGATCTGTGAGCTGGAAAAACGTTTCCACAGACAGAAATACCTGGCCAGCGCCGAGCGGGCAGCCCTGGCAAAGAGTCTGAAGATGACGGACGCGCAGGTCAAAACCTGGTTCCAGAACCGGAGAACCAAGTGGAGGTCGGTAGGAAAGTCCATATTGGGCGTTAGTTGTCTTGACTTTCACTTGTATCTGAGTTTAATCACAATTCACCCGTTTCATCACAATTCACCCGTAGACACCCGGGAGTTCTTCTCTTTTTTCCAAGTCCTGTTTCACCTGTTTCAGACATAACTTTGCTCAGGTGAACCCCACGCGCTTTTTCCGGTTACGTGACCCCAATGACACGGAAACAAAACAAGCTAAACACTAGGGGCAAAACTTTCAAAATAACTTTAAATTGTATTCTTCTTTTTCTCATTCTGTTCTTATGTCAGGATGTATTAAATACAAATTGTAAATAATTCCTTAAAATAGCCTACCAAAAATGAAGTTTTTATTTTTTTTAACTTATTCTTACCAAAACACGAAGACACAGATTTTGCCCTATTCTCTATGATAAATTTCACGTTAAAGAAATGTGTTATGCATCGCTCGTGGCTTATTCTAATTCAAATAAATTACAACTGTTGTTATTTTGCGGCCTAATGTTTTATTTGTATTTATTTTGTTCGTTGTTTTACTTTTTGTCTTTTATTCTGCACAACTCTACCTTTGAACATAAATGAACGTCCATGATGGTTTTTTTTTAATCTTACCTCCTGTCTTCTTTTAGGAGACAGACAGCCGAGGAGCGCGAGGCGGAGCGCCAACAGGCCAATCGGCTCATCCTGCAGCTGCAGCAGTCCGCCCTCCAGAAGTCCCTCAGCGAATCAGCGGTGTCGGACCCACTTTGCGCCCATAACTCCTCCTTGTACGCCCTGCAGAACCTCCAGCCCTGGGCTGAGGAGAGGGAATAGAGCCAAGGCACTACGCTGTAATCAATAATCAGCATCTATTATCGCTGGGAGGGTAAATCCATTCAATTAGGCCCACTTGAGGACAGCAGGACTAACTTTGACCCATGCAATGGGGGGAAAAAAAACAAAGGAAGCAGCCCCATCCATCTGAGGAAAAGAACCTAGTATGAGGGTAAGTGGTGCCTGTCTTCAAGCACAGACTTTTTTTTTGGGAAGATTTCTTCCATCCACAAAAACTACGAGACTTTTTCACACCGAAAAAGGAAACACGACTTTGTCCTTACAATTTCTCGCCACCCTGTTACTGTACTCGTATGCTTGTTCTTATTCTATTTATTAGAATAAAAAGCATATTTACATTTACCTAAAACACATGAAGAAAACATTCCTTCTTTACAGTGGGACATTACGTGACTAAATGGCTTGTGAGTGTTTTTTCCACTCAATGCAGCCCACCAGATTTTGTGATAGTAACCATGAGATGCTCTTTTAAGGGCAGAACACCAGCTAGATTGAGACAAGGCCTGACACACCTTTACTATATGACCTAGGTCAAGAAATGTGTTTTAAATCTATCTTCTCTTCTGTTTTATCACAAGGCTTCACAAAATGCTTGTTTGGACTCATTTTCAATATTCTGGTGCTTAAATCCTTTTTTAAATCTAATTTATAAATGTGCTCTCTCCAGCTACAATCACCTGTACACATGCACAGGTGTGTTGCACAAACTAAGCCTGAGAAATTTGGTGCCTAAAATGTTAACATATGAGGGAATTCTTCAGTGCGCGGCAATAAATGGGAAAATAGATGCGAGGATGGTAGGAGAGAGAAGTGCAAAAATATGAAAGCGGCTGTAAGTTGGGTAATAAAGAGAGTGATGCATGTTCAGTGATGGTGGTGACGTTTTTTCATATGCACATTATCATGCTTTATTTGTGGGCCTAGTCCTCTGGGATGCAGGCACGACTGTACAACTGATTTTGTACTTTCACTGTAAATGTGTAAATAACAGTATAAACCGTTCATGTGACCCTTTTTGTTCTTCCTCTTTATGTTGCGCTTTAAAATTATTGTAAGGTCTTCATACACAATAGTTACAATCTGTGAAAAAGAAAAGGTTATGGATTAACATGGTAAATAATAATACCAGACATGAATTAATTTTGTTTCTTGAAAAGTTTATTGATGAATATAATGATTTTGTATTCTACAACGCACATGATTTTATTCGGACAGTTTTAAGCTGTCTGTTTATCTTCCTGTCTGTCTATGTCTGGGTACATTTGATACGAGCCGGAGTTCTGTCACACTATTGGTAGCACAGTGAGTGGGCATGACAGTAAATCATCTATAAATCTGTGTTTTGTCCTGCTCAATCCTCAACACAATGGCTCTTGTTTGAAACATGGCTTCCATTCCTCCAGAATCAGTGAAAGGTCTCTCTCGTCATCTGTCTTCCCCTTACACTCCCCTCCTCCTTTAGCCCCGCTCCGCTGTCTCTCCCTCACAGTGAAACGTTGGTTGCTCTCAGTCAATATTTTTTAACAGACAGAACTGACGAAGAAACTCTCCTCTCAGATACTTGGTCATCTCAAATTGACAGATAGCAGCGTCCACAAGATGAAGCAACATGCTCATAAAGTGACTTAAACATTATTCAGGCTGACAGACACTTTACATAAGGACACCCCACACACACACACACACACACACACACATACACACACACACACACGGACAAACACACATGCACGTCCCTGCATTTGTCTGCTTTTTTTTTTTTTTACGCCTGAAAACCTTTAAATGAACTCTTTATTTCATAAAAAGTGTCACATAAAATCATTACAGTTAGGTTTAATTTGACAGAAAGATAGACAGGCACAAATGCTTTATAGAGCGAGAAAAATCCACAAACACCACATTAAATATCTGAAGTTGGGTTGTTATACATTAAAACACTGACAAAAACCACTCTAACACACACGTACACACACACACACGCGCAGACACACACACAAAAGGAACATTAAAGACTGTTGCAAGCTGTCGAGAGACGTAGACTGTCACAAGGAGGACATATTCAGCTCTTGCAAATCTTCACAGGGCTGTGGCTGAATCACATGGATCTAGAAACACACAAGACGTCTCCACTCGGACCTTTGCTTCCCAAACTGTATGTACTTAGAAAGAGTGAACTGCAACAGGGTATTTGTACGGCACACATACTGTACGTTAAACATTCCTCAGGCCTCTGCCCTGCATGCTTCACAATATTGCCCGCATTGTTTTATTGACACAGAAATTCAAGATGAAAAAAGCTGATATTTAAGCCCCATGGTTACATTTATTTGACATTCCTGCTAAGCTGCTTCAAGGAATTCCTCTCCAGCCTGATAGTCTGGTTTAATTTACATGTTTCAGAAAATTATTATTATTATAGAGAATCAGTATTTACACAATGTTCAAAGTGTCTGTCATTGGACAAACAGCAAAAAAATAATAATAGAGAGACAGAGACAAGATCAAACAAAGAGTTTGAGTCTGAAGGACTTCTCCAAAACCAGTGATGGTTTGTCTCCATGGTTTGGTTACAGAAGGAAGTCTCCCATGAAGCTCCGAGGCGACTTTCCCACACTGACCGACGATATCTTTGTTTTTCTCACTTGTTTGACTCTTCTTCCTCTCCATCTTTGTTCTTTTGTGCTCTTATCTCTCGCAGCGTCCACACTTCTAGATGACATTTTCAAAGAGCTGTAGGGACCTCATGATGTTTTCATCCTGTGCAAAGAACATTAAAAGGCTGAAAGGGTTCCTCCAAACATCATTTAATTCAGTTTACTGGCCACAAGGGGGCAGTAAAAGCCTGTAAAAATGTTAGCGTCTTCTCTCCATATTTATATAAAAGCTGGCAAACACTTTAATTAATAGCTAGTATAGGGAGGCTTGCAAAGGAGGATCGTTAGCAAAGAGCCTATGAAGAGGTTTGTGAAACGTTAGTTACATATACACACAGCTTTTACTGCAGGGAAATCACAGTTGTTACCAATTTTACCAATTAAGCTATCATTCATTTTATATTTGGCACATGTTCTGTCTTTTAGTGGTGTAAAGCTAAAAAGGCCCGAGGAAGAAAATAAATATATACCTCTTGACAAGAAAGGATGAATTCATCAAGAGTGACCACACCGTCTCTGTTTTTGTCCATTTTCTGTGAAGAGCAACACCATACTGTCAAGCCATAAGTCTCGAGGATAGTGAGGAAAAATAAAAAGGTAATGATCAAAGAAAAAAACAAACCAAACATCAGTCATTTTGGTAACTTATTTGTTGCTCAGCACTCTTTGCCGTGGTTATTCAGCACTTCTCAAAGATCACCTTAGCTATAGTCACCCTGTTAACTCTGTGATTTATTTCTATTTTTCATATGTTACAGGAAGTTTAGTTTGTTTTCATAACTAAACTAGCACTTGTTTCACTCTTGAAATTGCTAAAAAAAAAAACATTCACATTTTTTCTTTTGCTGAAATGTAAATCATGATTTTTGACTGATGCATGAGGTCTGGTAATTCATGATTTTCATTGCTCGTTTCATTGTTTATTTGACATCAATTATGGACTCAGATACTATTACCCGAAAGAAGGCATCCACATGCTGTTTGGGTGCATCAGTTTTCAAGACGGGGTAAGTGAACTTCCCCATCATGTCGTAAATGGCTCTGACGATGTCCGTCATCTCCTGTCAAACAGAACAGAAGTACATCATCATTTGAAGACGTGCGGAGGTTTAAACATACACCCACGACGGCAGAAACAAACCCTCACCTCTTTGTTGATGTATCCATCTCTGTTGATGTCGTAAAGGTTGAAGGTCCACTGTAGCTTCTCAGTGATGGTTCCCCTCAGCAGGATGGAGAGAGCTGTTACAAAGTCCTGACCGAGGGAAACAAAATGGAAGAGGACGTTATCTAATAAGTAACTTTGAAAAATACAAAAAATTGAAATGTGTGAATCCAGCACACCTCAAACTTTATGGAGCCGGTATGTGCTGAGTCAAATGCATTGAACAGGAAATGTGCGTAGGTGCTGGCATCTGCAGGAGAAGAAGAAAACATTTGTTAACACCTTGAGTAGAAACAGTAAGGAGGTAGAACCCCGTATAAAAACACAGAGTAAAACAAACTTTCTCTCTGTACCTCCATGTGGGAAGAACTGTGAGTATATTTGCTTGAAGGTTTCCTCATTAACAATGCCACTGGGACACTCCTGGAAAGAGAGAAGGCGATAGAAAGACAGGGATGGTGAGCAGGTAGGAGGATTGAACTGCAGATACTGACTTCAGGCAGAATAGAGGTAGATAGATACAGAGTCATGTGGAAAATTAAAGTTGATACATTTCAAATCACATAATTTAGTGTTATCCTTTTGTATGAAGCACAATCATCAACCCCATGACAATAAACTGCAGTAGCAAATTCAGACCTTCTTGCAAGGGTGTCACTGTTGAGTCAAATTTGAACATGGACGCAGGCTTTGTTCAGAAGCTAAATATTTTGTCTTAAATTTCATTAACATGTAAGCGTTTGGTTATAACTTTATAAGGAGTCCAATTAATCACCATTTAGTCACCGTTTTCAGACAGAGGTGGTCGATTTTAAGATGGCAGGTGATGACTCTCTGCCAGAGATTGTATTTGTACTCTTTCTATTTGTCTGGACTTATATCAGTAAGTAACAGTATCTTGGTGTTATAAGAAGATTTTACAGCATGAACTTTGACAAAAGTTTATAGCAATTCAGTAGACTGCCTTTCCCATAAAACGACTGCATTTCAAGCAGAATTCAGATTTCCCTGTTTGTAAATGATTCTTTTAAGCTATTCTCTTCATGTGCTTGCTCAGAAGAGAAACGAGAAAGTGTGAAAATCCCCTCAGAACATGTAGACATTAAATACTTTCTACATACTGTAGAACAAGGGAGAGCAATCTCCTGACCCACACATGGACACTTGTTCTTCACTGTATGTTTCTATGTGGATCATTAAAGTGTATCTTTAGAGTCTCTTACATTCTTGAAGCCCCGATAGAGCACTTGGAGCTCTCTTTTGCTGAAGTTAGTTTGAGCTTCTAACTTGTCAAGGCCCTCCGGCCGATGGCACACCATGGTCACCTCCAAGTCATCGTCAGCTTTGTCTAAAGGAAAACACACAAAACATAACAAGTGAGTGAGAAATCGTAAATATAGGAAGTATGAAAAAAATGTGCATCTCTGTTGTTTTCTATTTAATCTATTTAAAACTTTTCTAAAAGGGAAGGAGAGGAGAGGATGAGAGGTAGAGGTCAGTCTAACAGCTCAATGATCCTCCTCTCACCGGCCCCTTTGATTAACAACTCATTACTCTCCTCGCTGGAGGGGAGGGTACATAGGACAAACCACTGCCTCTGAGACAACACACACACACACACACACACACACACACACACACACACACATGGACATTCTCATAGTGCCGTTAGGTGAATGTAACAGCATAAAAGACACCTACCCTCTCTCCATCTTAGACTCTCTCTCTCTTTTTTGCTCGAGCGAGCACACACTGCCTAAAGCAATCTTCAATATCATAATTATGCATACTGTTATAACTGTGCATAATTTAATAGAATTGTAATAAAAACTCAGAATATGATAAAAGGTCATAATGTGCAGTAGTAAAATGCAAATACAAGAAAAAAGAGGAAGAAAAAGTTATTGGTTGTTAAGTAATAATATGGTACATTAAATGAATATCATTTCAGATTTATGACTGATTGTTCATCACTGACCCATCTTAACCTGTCCAGTTTATAAGTTATAGAAAGACCTGCAGTTATCATCTTCCCCTGCTTCATTGTATATCTTTCTGTGGCAGTTTCATGTGCATACACTCACTGATGTGTCAGTAAAAAGTGATGCCGGTGAAAACCTGTTATCATTTTTAAAAGCTGTTTTCACCCCCAAAGCGCCATGTAGATGTCCTCCTTCTTTTTTCCAAGCATAGTCATTATGGTTTAACAGAACTGTCAGTGGCCGATGTTCACCTGCTCTCTCCAAACTTTGATCAGTGAATTGAAACAGACAGTAGTTTAAAAAAACTGCGATACAATCAGAGCATGCTGTAGTCTTTTTCTGAGCTTCTCTTCTGTTACAATGAAGTGTCACAGAGGGCAGCGTTCACACTGTCCTTGGCAACACAGATTTTGAAACATTACCAGTCTTGAAATAGAAACATTTATTTCGGTGTGACCAGACCATTAGTGCTTTGCAAAGCTTCATTACACCGACACCTCTTCCGTTCTGTTCTCAGTGAGTTAAGGTCAGCATTTAAACTGTGCTATCAAAGGCAACCCAATTTCATAGATCAGTAGAATATTTCATAACTGCGTAGAAGTGCAGCCACAAGAGCAAACTTGTTTTTAATTGTTTAATGATGTTGCATCCAGTTAAACTGAACTAAACTCATCACCAAAATGTGGCACTGCAGATACTACAGGATGTCATTATATTGCAATACAAAATAAAATTAATTTTACATTTCAAATTAGTCAGGATAAAATAAAATAACAATTTATACTACCCAGCAAGAGCTCATTACGCTGTGGCCGCTAATTCTTACATAATGGGAGCATAATTAGATGATGACTCTGTAGAACTTCTGTTGAGTTGTTTTGCAGTCATTCTTTTTAGATCTACTTCATATACACACACACACACACACACACACACACACACACACACAGATTTTTCATATCTATTGTCCCTATATTCTTCAGGTATATTTTACAGTATATGGCACATATTCTATATATTGCATTTACAGTTCAGGGTGTTGTGTATTATAACCAATACTCTGTAGAAGTGGGGGAAAAAAGACAGCTAAAAAACCCTTCACACCAGCACATAGTTAGTTGGTTTTGACCGCACACTTTGGTTGGTTGATATGTGAGAAGATAAGATAAGATAAGATAAGATAAGACACTTTATTGTCATTGTATGCGATACAACAAATTTGGTTGGTGACAAACAGCCCAGCAGCAATCTATGAGTTAAAAATAAGATAAAATAAGATAAAAAATATATTAAAACAGCAGGTTAGGCACATACAACAGCACACAATATATACAAAAAGTACAGGTTCATGGTACATGTGCACCATAGATTTAAAGATTAGGCACTTCTCTGAAAATGCTTCACTGCAATTCTATTGTCTGCTTAAAACCTCAACGCCACCTTCACAGTCTCACACAGCGCTTTTACCAAAAACTACCACCGCACAGAACGTCCCATCTCTAGGTAGCTACACCTCAAGACTTAGCATGGGTGTTTTTTAGAGTCTAGTACGTCCACCATTATTAAGATTTTCAGATCTTGTATAAGGAGAGTGCACATTAGTTCTAAAACAGATTTAAAAGCTCTTTAAAGCCAATGTGTATTTTTTGCATATAAAACAAAAGTGATTGACTCAAGTATGACACAAAAACTAGAATAAGAATCAGTTATAGCAAACCTTCCTTTTTTCCTTAAAAGGTGAATAAAAATATTATGATCAAAGACAAAATATTATACATTTAGCAATGTTTTGTCATTGAAAAGCGATGATTTTCTATGAATGGCAGTCCATTTCTTCCATATATTGCTCTTACATGACAAATCAGTGTAGATTGCTTTTCAGCAGTGGTAACACAACTCCTCAATACTATGCTACTTCTGTTAGCTATTCATGAGGGTGGTAGAAGTTTAATACTCACTGACTCACCATCCACAGTGATGACTCCTAATAGGTGCAGCATTTTGACGGCCCCACAGCACAGCAGAATAATGGCTATAGTGTGTAAGCTGTTCTCACTCTGTGGCTCTTTTTCCATTTTAAAGTCCTTCTTTCTTTCCACTAACCTTTAATTCCTATACTCCTTTCAGGTTTTTAATGTAAGCGTTATACCAACTTACTCTACACTTTTAAGTTTAGTCCCGCTTTAGACTATGTACAAGTTCTAACAATATCTTTCCTTCTGTTAAACGTCCTATCCATCCTGCTCCTCCCACAGTGAGATCAGCACTCACCTGCCTTTCTCTAGCTCATTCTTTTTATCCCCCTGTCTCTCGACTCCCTGGGGCATCTCCCTCTCTTATCCTGACCCTTCCCTCATCCCCTCCTTCTCTCCTCTCCCCCACTATTACAGTCATTGTGTCCTTCACTCTCAGAAAACAGAGCCTCGACTACAGAGTCTGACCTGAGCCAACTGTAACAATGATAAACTCTCCTTCTACTGTATGACCCTGTGTGTGTGTGTGTGTGTGTGTGTGTGTGTGTGTGTGTGTGTGTGTGCATGTGCAGTTCAGCACTTGATTAATTGCCTCCATTAAGACACACACTCATCCCCAGACAACTGAAGGCTTAATTTACTACAAAGTCACTTCTCAAACTAAACATGGCTCAGTCCTCTAAGGTGACTTACTCTACAGTAAACAACACTTTATATAAATCATTAACTATGAATACACCCAGTGAGATGACATGATCCATCCTAATCTGAGAGGACTTTATTTAGACATTATAATGTAAGCAGTTTGTCTAAAGTGAGGAAAGAGATCAACTTGGCTTTATAACCTGAAATGACTTGATTCTACCAGCAGGGGGAAGCAGACACAAACACAGAGGACACCAGCGTGTGTGTACATTTGTATTAAACTCTTCATTACATGTTACACTTCAGATTTAGCTCAAATGTTCAGTAATGGTGAGATAATACTCAGAAAATCTGAAAGTCTTTTTCACATCAAATGTGCTGTGTTCTTAATGAATAAAGAATTTGTGGTTCGGTGAAACATGTTTGAAAATCCCACTTAAATTAGCATGACATATTTTCTGGAGTATCTCTTCGCTGTGTCCAGCAGCTGGCACTAATTCATCATCTTAAAGCAGATGTTGAAGAAGCAGATGAGTTAACCTGACGAGCTGGAGTGGAGCTGCTGACTCACAGACAGCAGGTGGCTCTGCAGGACCAAAACGTTTCACACTGAGTTGCCAATTTAACCTTGCGATAACTGTGGCAGCAGAGCTTGGTAAATTAAATGTAGTAGCAAGAGTCACATTTAATTTAATTTTCCAGATACTTAAAAGATGCCCAGTAGTGTAAACATCACTTGATAGGGATGATTAAGAACAAATTGTATTTGTTTAAGTAATCAACCTTCAGCTGTGTCCTGCTGTGACCAATCAGCAACAATTCACAGACACAGCAAATGAGAAGTAACTCCTGCCACAGTGTATCCACACGAACAAGATCTTAAGGATACTATTCTAAATGATCCAAAGGCATACTTCTTTCCATCCAACCATTTATATATTTTCTTCTGCTTATTTGCCCAAGGTCAGCACCAGGTTAAGGAAGTTACCTCCACACTTCCCTCTCCCAAGCGAACTTCTCAAGCTCCTCATTGGGTATCCTCAGGCATTCCTCAGCCAGATGGGATATATCATCTCTCCAACAAGCTCTGGGTATACCTCAGGGACTCTTCCGAGTGCCCTGAAATCTCCCAAGGCAATAGCAAAGACGGCATCCTGTTCAGATGTCTAACCATCTCAACTGGCAACGTTCAATGCAGAGGAGTAGCAGCTCTTCTCAGAGCTCCCTCCCGATGCTCGAGCTTAGACCTTATCTCTAGATTGAGCCCAGCGTCCCTGCGGAGGAAACTCATTTTGGCTACTTGTATCTAGAAATCGTATTATTTGGTCATTACCTAAAGCTTATGGTCAAAGTAGAGCTGCACCAATTGCAATCTATTTGACAAATGCTCTCTTAATCCCTCAATATAACTCATTAATAAATCAAATAAGAGAAACAGAGAACTTTAACACTTCCCACTCTTCAGCTGCATTCTCCCTGGCTTTTGAATGATTTATGAATAACCCAATAAATAACAATGGTTGACTATTTCATTAGGCTATTGCAATCTTCCACCTGTCTTCCTCTGTTTCTCGCTGCTTTGGTGAAAAGAATCCGTTGAAATGTAGACTGGACTAGCACCATGACCCCCTATCAACCATGTATGAGTAAAGAACCTGTACAATGTTCCATGATCATTTTTAGGTTCGACCTACCAGAGTCTCCTTTCCCGTACACTTGAATAATCTTTCACAAGAAAACCGAACAGT